GAATTCTCGCCTGCCACCATGAACGTACTCTGTGCAGGATTCTTCGATATAGCTCAACATCCATCCCCGACGGCCCGGCTGAGCCCATTGTATTGGATGCAGCATCAAAGATCATTTTTTTGTCGATCGGGTCAAAAACGCCAGGAGGAATGTAATCAATGGGTCCGTATAATAAATTCTCATCCGCAATATCTGCCGCTTCCGGATGTTTCGAGTCACCCAGCAAGAATTGAGGAAAGAGAATAATGAGTCAGTAAGCTGGAAAATACGCCACTGACAGGACTCGGAAAAGAAAAATAAAGGAGGAAACTGAAAAATGATAATGATAATGATAATGATAATAATATCGCTTTGATGAACCACACGATGTTTTTGAAGTTCATTTCTTAATGAAGACAATACATGTTTCGGATGAGACATCTACATTACGAAGGGCAACCGAGATATCAAATTAGGACGGGACAATCTTACTAAGTTATTCTTCTTTGCCACTGCCCAGACCCAGTTTTCCTTCTTGAGTAATTTCTACGATCAAATTGATGGGGTGGCCATGGGCTCTCCGCTCGCTCCTGTATAAGCTAATCTTTTCACGGGTCACCATGAGAAAAGGCTGGTTTACTACTGCTACTGCTACTGCTACTGCTACTGCTACTGCTACTGCTACTGCTACTGCTACTGCTACTGCTACTGCTACTGCTACTGCTACTGCTACTGNGACAGTGACAATGACAGTGACAATGATAATGATAATGATAATGATAATGATACGAATACGAATACGAATACTACTAATAATAATATTGGAATTTTATTGGGCTCATTAAGATTCTTTAACAAAACTTTACATGATAATTATTTACAGCACAAAACTATTTACAATAACGATTGTATTAAAATCGTTAAAAAAGGAAGCAAAATGTAGTTTACAGAAATGAATAGAACTGAGAAAACCTGAGAATTGGAATGACTTGTTCAAAATGTCACAGAAACGTAGCAAAAGTATTTGCTACGAAATCCGTAGTAGTAGTAGTAGTAGTAGTAGTAGTATCCGTGCGAAACTCTTTGTTTGATTTTAAACATTTTAACACATCCATTGAACTATTGTTTTACTGACTATTTATACATTTTTTATCAACTATCATTTAGACTTGATAATGACGTAAGCTCAACGTCGAAACGTCGTCGTTTTTTAACAAATTTTTAACTTTCTAAATATGCTTAGAAATATTTTATCGCAATTTTTTATAGTTAAATTATGATAATAATAATAATAATAACAATAATAATAATAATAGTAATAATAATAATAATAATAATAATAATAATAATAATAATTAATTATTATAATAATAACGGAGGGGAAATCCAAAAATTCCCTCTGGACCTGGTGGAATACGAATTTTTGTTCAAAAATCGGTTAGACCTTTATAAGGAAGAAAATGTCCAACAGTATGTTTACTGCAACCTGTCCTCTTTTTCTGCAGCCGTTAGTGACATTTGCCATTATTTGTTTCCAAAGTGAATTTAGAAAGAAATTAAAGGTTGAAGATTTTATAATGCTTGCGCTGGTCGGATTATGGGGAAACAAAGGAAAACGCCGTAAGAACCATTTAGCCGCATTAACGGGGCAGTCATAAGACAAAAGTTCTTCTCTAGCTTTCGTTTGGCTTCAAAAATATATGCGTACATATTTCACCTCGGACATTAATTTTTCCTTGAAGCTTACAGTTTTCCTCGAGCTCCGCCCCCGGAGAAGTGTGTGTTTCTAGTAACAGATAATGTCCACCCAAAAATAGTCATACTTTTTTTGCACCAAAATATAATGAAGGGTACTGTTCGTATCTGTTGATCGATTTCGCAGATCACTCAAAATGTGGGAATAAAAATGAGACATTATAGAGTCTTAATTGAAAGTCATAAAAAAAGATCTTCTCACCAATCTTATCCCTATGTTCACTTTCGCCTGTTCCCTTTGATGTTCTGTTCCACTAATGATATACACTTCCCCTTTTCTGCGACTTACTTCTGCCCCGGTCTGCTCGCTTATCTCACGGAGAGTAGCTCCCCCTTTTCCAATTATTATACCTTTGTATTCAACTGGAATCTCCACTAGTTCCCAAATCCCTCTTTTTACCTCCTCCTGTCAAGAAAATGGTTACAGTCATTTCTTTGAAATGTTAGGGGAAAAATCGTTAGAATGACGTCCAGGTATATATACGAAAATGAAGACATTTATCTTTACAACTTACCACTTTTTCCAAAATAATCCTCTTTGCACATGCTATCTGCTCTGCATTGCCACTGACCGTAAATCCTTCCTCCTCTGGGTTTGCTGACCAAATTTGTGCCCCAGATCTCTGTCCTATGTCCTGTATCACATATCCTCGCCTACCGATGACATGAGCTTTAAAATCTTTGGGAACTGGCACAAATTCACTCTGCATTGCCTCTGTGGCTGTCTTCTTAATGTGGCACTACCTTAGTGATCTGAAAAGCAATGTTTTCTTTTACAAATCTTTTACTAGATCTAGTTTATTACTCCTGTTAATGGGAGACATGTTTCACGGACACACTGATGAATGATAGCGTCATGATACTCGGCATTCCCCTGTTCTGTCATTGTTGAGAGATTAGCAAAAGCAAAGGTAAAATACTTATTCGTCTAAAAGCGCGTCATCCCACTTGCAAAGCCAAGAACGTTTTATGGGTGTATATTAAGTATTTTAGATTAGCAAGGTTCCTGCCATAAGAAACCATTTGGATAATGTTTCCTTGGTTCTTCTAACGAGTCTCATCGCCGATAAAACGTCAAGAATTTATGAAACACAATCTCTATAAGAAGTTCTCTTGAAGAGGACTGCACAATGTGTTGGCTGAATACCAGCTTCAGGAATACAGTGAATACAGTGATATATGATTCCCTCAGACATGCCAACTGAAAATCCCCAAATTCAGTTTTACCCGTTGTTATCCAGCTCGTCATTCAAAGTCCAGTATTTGTAAAAACGTTGCACTTTGCTTTTGGTATAGAACTTAACATTTTGATCTCTGTACATAAAACGACTTATCCATTGCCGATGTGGAGTCCCGGTGGTGGGAAATAGACCGCTAATGAGTACGACACAAAAATGGCAAATGCCCGGAGGTAAGCCCGGGGGACATGGTAACAGGTAGAATTGAACCACCCACTAATTCCGCCACTTTTGGCGTTCATGTCTTTTATATCGCGGTCTTTACAGATTATTGGTTTCTTTGGTAACTTACGGGGTAGTATTTTTACATACAAAAACTAATTCCAAATAATGTTTAAAACGCAAAATTCAGCGAAATGGATTCACCTTCATAACTACACAGGAACAAAGTGGGAAGCAGCTTATTTTTTCAGATAGAATAAATTAGGAATATTATAATTCTAGAATAAAGTGCTCACGAGTGGTAACGTCAGATATATTTACCGGGCGTAAGCAAACAGAACCGTGTCTAAAAAAAATGTAAATCTTATTTATAGTGGTCATGCACTTAGGTATACAAACACTAAGCTTCAATAGTTTACAGGTATGGCACTGAAACAAAGAAAACAAATATTTCAAATAAACGATACATAGTTAAGAATCCCAACTAGCAGGAGGCAGACTAGTTGGCTATTTACAAAGCGTGACCGAGGATTTGAATTCGGGAATACCGAAAAACAAATCCCGCTAGTAGCAGGGTGGAGGCCTTGAACCCGGGACCTCCAGATTTTAACACCAGCACCCTAATCCACTCGGCCACGCTGCCTTCACAAGCAAAAGTATAAGGAGGATTACAATGATTCATGTCTCCATTGTTGGCCATCTTATAATCTCAACTAGGTAGTTTTTCATATATGAAGTAACACACTAATGTTGTAAGAAACTAATTAACTGAAATGAAGAACGAAATCAGTTGGAAGAAACCAGTCAACTGAGACTCTTACTGGTAATAAATGAGGTGTATACATTCGCCGGAGATGAACTGTAAGTGACAGAGACGAAGAATGTACATGTATGGCATGAAATGAACGTTTGCCGCTATTAGTCTATTGCTATAAAGCGTATACCTTTCTTGCAAAAAATTTCAGACAATTTAATTTCGGACGAAAAAGTTTACGAAAATTAAATTGTCCAAAATTTTTTAAACGTCCAAAATTTTAAGCGTCCGAAATACTTACAATAGAATATAAAACTTTGAAGTAGTTCCAAAGTTATTAGTTTCCTTTATGCCGGGCCGCTTTATGGATCGAACTCTAGTTGAGACACTACTTGACATACGTAACGGCTTGATAGCATTTGTGTTATTTTCTCGTCGGTGTATTTGTAAAACCTAGAGTGTGCAGTAAAACTCTGAACTTCTGATGTTGTTCCAGTCTAATTCTTGCTTTGTAGCCGTAAATTCACTTTAGCTATGCTTCAGCAAAGAGACCACAATTTTTTGTTTGAAATTTGTCTGAAATGAGATAAAACG